ACACACACACACAGACGCACCAAAAACAATACCTCCATTTTTCATGGAGGTAACAAACAAACAAACAAACAAACAAACCTGCGGGAAGCTGAAGACAGTGCTGAGGACCCAGCAGGTGATGATCATGACTTTGGTGCGGTGAGGAGCGCCGCTCTTACTGAAGGGGAACAGCACGGCCACCGCCCGGTCCACACTGATGGCCACCGTGATCAGGGTAGACTGGTACAGTCCTATCATCTGGAAACACACACACGTGGGGAAGTTTCAAAAGGGTGCCCTTTGCAGTGTGTGTGTGTGTGTGTGTGTGTTTGTGTGTGCATGTGTGTGTGTGTGTGTGTGTGTGTGTGTGTGTGTGTTAATGTGTGTGTATGAATGTATGTGTGTATATTATGTGTGTGTGTGTGTGTGTGTGTGTGTGTGTGTGCGCGCGTGTGTGTGTGAATGTGTGTGCGTGTGTGTGTGTGTGTGTATGAATCTCTGTGTGTATATTATGTGTGTGTATGTGTGTGTGTGTTGTGTGTGCTGTGTGTGTGTGTGTGGTGCGTGTGCCATAGTGAACTATTCACATTCGATGGCTATCACAATAGCATATTGCATGAAAAATATTTTTCAAAAATCAATATAGTCACGTCTCCACATACTAAGTTGACGTAACACTATCCCAATGTATATCGACATTCATTGCGCAAAAATACAGAAAACTGTGATGAAAAACCGTTACCGGAAGTATCTTGGGCTAATTTGGGGAGGGGGGTGTGGGCCACCCAGAAAATAAAGGACTTGTCTTGGGGCTTTCTTCTGCATGTGCAGTTGTAAACGCCATAAATGAATGTATCCGTGAATAGTTGCAATGTAATCTAAAATGTATGTATGAAATGTATGTATGGAATACTGATGCAATTGTACTAATGTGGGGTCGTGTGGCGCAACGGCAGCGTGCGCGACTCGGAATCAAGAGGTCCCGGGTTCGAGTCCTGACATGCCACCGATCTTATGCCCTTGGGAAAGGCACTTTACACGACTTTCCCCACTAGACTCAAGTGAAAATGAGTATTGTCTGTCCAGTATACGTTTCTATGTGCGGGACACAACACCAGCAACAGCTGCCTGTGTTCCGCGTGTATTGCACTGTTGCAATTTCAATAAATCTAAATCAAATCATTAAATCAAAATGTGGGGCAGTATGTGTCAAATTATACAGATGGCATTATTTCGCGTTTATACGGCGTTTTGCCGCCCTGAGATGGCATTGGATGTCTTTAAGGGGCCCAGAAGATGCTATCATACATTAATTGTGCCGCAGAAAGAACAAAGTTAACACGAAACTAGAAAGGCCACATTTGCTTTGGAGCAAATTCAGCATGACTTCACATTTCACGACATGGCAGGGAAAGAAGGAGAAATACAAGGGAAGACAATTCTTTACATTGATATAACTATAGTATGAAGTGACAACAGTCGGATAGCTATCCCTTACATTATTGGTAGGGATTTTTAATTTCATAATGCAAACTGTTGATTTTCAAGATAAAAGAAGCGTTTATGCCCCGCATTCCAATGCTGGAGCAGGAAAGCTTGACATACCTACCAAAACACTTGAATAAAGTTGATACTGTCAATATGGCATGGCTTTGTACAGGTGTTAATTGAGTTAACCCAATCAGATCCGAACAGCCAATCAGCAAGGAGAATAGAGGAAAGCTGCATGCCTATTGGTTGCCTGCTCTACATGCCATTCTGATGACTCATGCCCAAATATGGCAACACACTGTTATAGTACATTTTCTATAACACAGCCAAAAAGCTCAAATAAAACGATTGTAAAAGCCTGAAAAAAACACCTGGGGGTATTTGCCCACTCTACCTCCATGCCAAATTTCATGTAATTTGGCCCCAAAATGAAGGAGTTGAATCAATTTAAAGAAATGGCAGGAGAAGAAGAAGAAGAAGTAACGTGAGCAAAAACAATTTGAAGTCATAATGACCAGAACGTTTTCGGCATGCAACAAAAACCTCTTGGGAAGCCTAATGAGATCGAAAGGATGGCGCCACTGCCGAAAAACATAAAGCTGAACAAAGTAAACGAAATTGATTTCCAATAAAACTACGCATATATATATATACCCTATGCATTATAACAAAAATAGAAATACATTTGTACATGAATTTTTTTAAGGAATATTTTTTTTTACATTGAAAGGATGAAAGTTTTGCTCGTTCTTATATTCTTCCACTGGTGACGCAACACGGTCATTTTTTGTTTTGTTTTTCTTTTAATGCCCGCGATCATGATAATGATCATTCTGGGATACACCTGAGCGAAGTGAGGAATGTCGTGTAAAGTGCCTCTCCCAAGGGCACAAGGTTGGTGACATGGCAGGATTCGAACCCAGGACCTCTTGGTTCTGAGCCGAATGCCCTGCCATTACGCCACACGACCCCACCTATTTTTCGAATTCGCTATTTATTGCGACGTTGTCTACAGGCCTTCAAATAGTCAAACGATTTTGATTGTGTGAGAAAACACGGTTGTCCCAACACACCCCCGTCAAACTCCTTTCAAGCCGTACCCGGAAATTCGTGCCGTACCCGCTCAAAAATTCGCAGCGAAGTGTTCTCAAGATTGGGCGCGATTTGTACGACGCCATTCGGCAGATAGGTGGCCAGGAATATTTACCAGAGCATAGGCTATATGAGGTTGTGTACCGTTGCCGTACAGGGTATTTAGACACGTCTTCCGAGTGACTACGCACCGGGGCTGAGCGATATCCGCCATTGGGTACGGCGAAAAAGTACAGGGTACGGCACGAATTACCGGGTACGGCTGGAAATTTTCGCGGGTACGGCACGAATTTCCGGGTACGGCCAGAATTTTTGAGCGGGTACGGCTTGAATTTCCGGGTACGGCTTGAAAGGAGTTTGATGGGGGTGCAACAAAAATCGCAGGATGTACATGTATCTGGCGATTTCTATGGCCTCTCACATGTGAAACGATTGCGCTCGTAGGTTTTGGCGGTATTTTTTTAATGATAAATCAATGACAGGTTTCTACCTGAAAATTCAGTTGAGTACAATGTGCCGTGGTTTTCTATTTGTCTGTTTATATTAAAAAGTTATTCAAAGAAGTCGCCAATATTTTCCCAAAGTTTTTCATATCTCAACAAACAACAAAAGACTATATTATTGCTAAAGTCCCCAACCCATCTATTTTTCAAAGGGTCGGACAATTGTCTGCCTCCTGCCTCCTGAGAAGAAGTCAAACCCCCTAATAGCATGGCAAGAATAGTTTTTTTATTTATTTTTATTTATTCACATATATTTATTGAGTATTGGGCAGGAAGCAAAAGTTGCTTATATAACACCTTCTACTCAAAAACATACAACGAGTATAAAACACATTGACGAGATACATGCATAATTACAAGGTGGATAAGGAGATAAATACAAACAAGACAAGTTGGTGATCTATCAATTTCGAGAATCTAGCCGTACAGTAAATGAAGTTTTAAACTACTAGTATATCGAAAACATTACAGTTTCGTAGGTGTGAGAGTGATGTAGAATAGTTTAATAGAATAGAATATGTTAGAATAGCAGTTACCTTATTTCTCTTACCTGTTCATATATTGTATATCTACTGTTTATCCTGTATACCAACGTTATTAGATTTAAGTAGAGATAGTAGGTTTAATAACTACATCGTACACGTAGAACTTCATGTTAGCATATAGTTTTATATCACTACATTTTTCTTGTCAATGTCTGTATGCAATTAGCCCTCGGGCATGAACTTGCAATATAATAAACTAACTTAGGCCACACCGACTTAATTTTATGGATGACATCCGCGCGCGCATTGATTTTCACCTGTTCTAAAAAAAATCACGTCCTCCGAGGCTCTAGGCCTGGGTACTCCATGGTAGTTAGCGACATTATGGAGCCGGTGGTAACTCTGGAGGACGGCACCCAGGCTACCGAAGCTCCACGATCGATGGCAAGATCTCAGTACATACGTACAGTGCCAATTCATAAATTCCGCAAAAAGCCAGCATGTGCCGGCTTATCGTACGTCGCTATGTACTGCCGCAAATTCACAATACCAGCTTTGTATTCCTGTGGTTTAGTAGCATTTTTATTTTTGGCCGGAATTTTTTTTATTCGCCCGCGCGCACTAGTTTGGGGGTCTTCAGAGGATGGCATCCATAAAATGAAGTCGGTGTGGCCTTATATTGAATTGAAAGCTTTTATTGTGTGACCGTGTCGATAATAACATTGCTGAAGGGGAAGTGATAGCAATAGATGGCTGCAGATGGTCTTATATATTACAAGTACATGATTTTCCTGAAAATCCGTCGAATGTTGCCCTAGATGCATTCAGGTCACCACGCTAGCTAAGATTGAAGATTGAGAAGATTGTTGGTTGATATCGACGAAGTACACTCATCGATCACACAGATACTAGCCAGCCACTCTTTCATTAGTTAGGTTAGCCTTATGAAAGTGTAGTTAATATGTACTAGTAAACGACATGGAGGAAACCATTCCAGCGCTCAGATGAGCCTGGTGTGGTCACGTATTTCGCATCCCCCCATTCTCAATAACAAGAGCTGCCCTAACATGACAACCAACTGGAAAAAGAAATAGAAGGCGGCCTAAAGAGACATGGAGGAGATCTAAAAAAAAAGAGAGGACTGAATCTCGATACAGCCCCGGACACAGCTGCAGATAGGGCTAGATGGAAATCCTTCCTGTCGCCTCAAGAACCACTAGGTTCAGAAGAGGATTGAATGAGTGAGTGAGCGAGTAAGTGAGTGAGTGAGTGAGTGAGTGAGTGTGTGAGTAAGTGAATAGACGCCATACTTTGTACCCTGTACAATTATTGTGCAATAAAAGTTATTATCTAATGACAGAAAGTCTGCCGACAATGATAAGATTACGAATGGATATACCTGCAGAAACTTGATGATCCTGCACATGACTTCCCCGGCCTTCCAGGAGACGGTAGCGGCCCAGGCGAGCTCGGACGGCATGGTGACGAAGGTGACCAGGGAGTCCGCCACGGTGAGCTGGAACACCAGGGAGTGGAGAGGCGTCCTGCTGCGGGAGCGGGACCGCTGCATCACCGCCAACACAGACACGTTCCCCGCGGCGGCCCACAGGAACAGGAACGACGTGATGATCACCTTCATCAGGTGGTGGTCGCTGAAAGTCGGCACGGCGGGGTGGGTCGTGTTGGTCACGTTAGTGTCCGCGCCGGTCGGCTCTATGAGCAAAGGTGTTGGGCTCAGGCCAGACGATGTGTACGCCGCTTCGTCTGTCGGAAGAACCTCGTAGGTCAGATTCACGACTGACCATCTTCCCTTGGTGAGAGCCATGGTTTTGACCACTTCGAAGTCGCCTTAGCTTGTACTCGTGTTATAGTGCCTCCGCGTTCAGTCAGCATCCGACTGCAGAATACAGATTCCTAGGTGTTCCCGTACACACAGCCCAGCCAACTTATAATGGTGCCCACGTCATCACTGTTAGCATACGATAATGTTGTGGTTTTGGTAACGCTGCTCAGGCCATGTTGATTTGATTATATGGATGACATCCACGCGCGCATGAATTTTCGTCCGTTTCCAAAAAAAAAAAGAAATGTTTTCAACCATACTGTAAATCGTACAAAACAGTTGCAAAATGAGCAAATATATACCGTAAGTTTAAAAAAAATATTTGAAAACGATACCAATATCATAGAATGCCTAAATCAAACGAAAAAGACCAAAATGTAAAGAAATGAATTCGAAGAGTAAATAATTCGCCATACCATACTCTATGTCATTTGTTCAACCTTCATAACAACGTAGATTTCATGATAAAGCAACCTTTTTTTTATTTGCACTCTCGCATCAGTTTTTGGGTTCCCAGAAGATGTCATCCATATAATCAAATCAACATGGCCTTATGTGAAAATGTGTCCAGCTCATTATAACATCTACACACGCCCAGAATCTGTATTCTGGCAACATCCGATGTCCCTTGCACAACGGTAACGGGGTGTACATAATGCAACTACATTCTCAGGGGAGATAACCAATACAGTGTTCAAATAGGAAAATACATTAAAGAATGTTTCGATCTTAGAGAACACATGTTAGAGAATAGTTAACCTTTATTGTTACATCATACATATACTCTGTACGTAAGATGACGTTATCCACACATGTATTTAGCTTTGTTAGATCTTTAGTTAAGTTGTAGAAGACCATACAAAAGTCTCTGTACTTTTTTGTTGTGTCAATAAAGAATCTCTATAATGGCAGAAGAGCCATATTTAGATTGTCGTCAAGTTGGTAAAGTAATGGATATGTATCAAATGTAATGTGCAGTTTAAAAAGAAGCTGGAGTGTAAAAATGTGCTTAAGCCGAGCACCTTTTCCCCATAGAAAACCCTACCTACAGACAGGATTTTGTAATAAAGTATTGAATATCAAGTGAATAATATGGTCAATACTGACCGAAGGAGGCCATACGAGTATAATTTTGAAGTTCTTTATTGACAAGCACTTGTTTAACAACAGCCGACGTTTCGATGACCGCTTAACATCTTCACCAGGGACATTTGATTTGATTTGATTGGTTTGCACATTAACAAAACAGACAATAATAATACAAAACAAGGATAAAACAGGTGCAGGAGGAGGGGAGAAGCATGGAATGCTTATACTAGGCCCTCCTACTCTAAACTATACAAAATTAAATATAATCAATACATGGAAATAATACAATAGAAAATGGAAATAATACAATAAGGATAATCAAATAATGTACGGTAAAAGTTAATGACAATGAAATAAGGTAATGTAAGGTATAAATACAGAGCAATAATGATAATGATAATAATTGGTATGAGTTAATTTCTGACTGGTTCACCGAAACTGAAGCTGGAATCGTTCGAAATTATCTAAATTTACGGAAATATTTGATAATACTGCCTAGACAAGTGAACAAGCAGCTGTATGTAGAGAGAAAGCTGCTAAAAGTTGAAACTTCCAAGTTTAATCATTTTATTATTCACTAATTTAAATTGTGACATCACCCAATCAATCTTTTTCTTGTAGCGTTACTGTTAAATAGATGTATACATGTATACATGTATCTGAAAGTTTCAACAGTCGTTGTGATCATCAACGTGAAAATATAGTTCCCGGAGGTTTGGAATATCTTGTTCGGAGATAGGAATAGGCAAACTAATCTTCAATCTTACATATGGACCGTGTGGGAACTCGACTGTAAGGCCCTCGCTCCCTAGTAGACTAGCCTGGTATCAAGTCTGATCATGGTCGGGGCTGCAAGAGCTCTGTCCCGCCCGCCTCACATAGGTTTCCCGGTGTGTATTTCACGAGAGATTGATTAGCCCTCCACGAATGGGGGGGAAACCAAATCCCCAAGCATACTGTCTCTTATTAGTCCTACCGGGACGGCCTGTTGCACTGGGCGGGGGGAGCTATTAGAGCCCCTGAAGACACAGCCTGCCTGAACACCCCAACACCCCCCAATCACGTAAGACTGGATACCAGGCTACAGTAGACTGGTGGCAGGTGATGCGGAATGTTCAAAGTGCTTGAGGCGCATCTTCAGTGCGTTATCTCCGGTAGGGTGTGGAGACGCTGAAGAGTCTCTGTCTACCAACAGGTCTTTGAGGGAAGCCCAATGTGGACGGATCAAAATACCGGTATGACTTTGATAAAACGTAAGACCCCTTCTTTGGAACGCTGCAGCCACACGCTTCATAGTACATAGATAAACTGCCCTCTGGGACAAAAAGCCACATTGACGAGCGGTATTCGGCTGCATTGGTCAAACGGCTTAATGATCTGTAGCGTACAAACTGATCTTAGGCCACAGCAAGTCATTTTTATGGATGACATCAGCGCGCGCATTTTCGGCTGATTTTGGAAAAAAAAAAACAAGAAATTTTGTTGCCTTCTGACAGTGGTCAACATGCCGAAAATGGGCAAAGATGTCTGTTGCCATGCCGGAAGGTGGATGGCAGATAACTATGAAGAGATTAGACACAAAAAGACTCTGATTTAATGTTTTGTTTCTTACCTTGATGCAGTGATATGTGATACTGACTGTGTATATGTGATCCCACTGAATCAAAACCATTTGTACCAGGATTGAGTCAAAACCCTGTTATCTCGTCTAAAACACGTTGCCATGTTCAATCACTCAGACGTTACGCAAGGCTCTCTGTGCATTCAGGAGTGTGTGCTATTACAAATGATGGGCTTTTTTGGAAGATTGCATAGGTCGTTCACATGGTCAGCGCTGTTGGGGGATATTCTCCAAGCAGAGATTTAGGCCTCGACATAATTTCATATGTTTTTAGGCGTTTTTATCGGGATTTGTTTTTTTATTATTGTACTGGTATCTTTTTTAACCCTCAACAGAACACCTTCCCGAACTGATTAATCTGTACACCTGGGGTCCGCGCGGACCCCAGAACAGTTTTTTGCTAATTTTTAGAAATTATCAACATGCTACCAGCTCAATTGTTTTGCAAACTGATGTGGGAACATCTGTGTCCACATTACATACAAAAATCATACATTTTGAACTTTTTCTATTTTTTTGTGAAGAAAAGAAGACAAGAAGAAATACCCGATTTTTAAACCCATTTCAGACTGAAGGGGCTTTTGAGGCCCAACTTTGATCTCAGATAGCGGCTAAACGGCTGCGCTAGAAGTATCAAATTTGGAGACATTTCCTAAAATGTCTCTGGAAAAAGTTCATATTAGTTTAATACTAGTAAGTTGATGTTTTTTGTGTTGCCATGGCAACGGGTCTAGTTTTTTTTTTAAATTTGGTTTAAACTATTAAAATTTTTCTGTAGTTTTATATTTAAATTACACTTCTTTTCCAACTATTAATAACATCTTACATAATCAAATATAAGTTAAATCATTTAAT